TTGTTAAAAATTACTAGTAATTTCATTTGTCTTTTTCTCAGTGTACTTTACTGCTCTTATACTATCTCTGAGTCAGCAAATGACAAGTGACAGAATCCACCTTTACACACCTTCTTCTGTTAATGGTAGCCTCTGGTAAGAATTCACGATGACATTAGCAATTGTTAATGGCGATAGCAACAATGGGAGTAATGGTACTTTTCTTAGTCTTTTCTCTTTTTCATGTTTTCATCTATAAATAATAATGAAGGCCCTGTTTTTTGTTTCTAAAACTATGGCAAGAAAATACCTATTCTTTTGGTTAACAGATAACTATAGTTATATATATCTGCATTTTTAATGAAATGTCTTCTTTTTAAAAATCTGTTTTAGTTTTTCAAGTTATGGCTTTAAAATAAGGCATCACACAGTGGACTGGGGGAACTTTGCATCCTTATCTCCCATCAGGGAGCCTATACCCCAAAGCAGTGATGGGAGCGTGTAGTGGGGACAGATTCAGAAAACCAAGCAATGCTACAAAGAGCAGACTAGGGAGAGCCAACATCTGCAGATGGGTGACCAGCCATGAAGCTGACAGAACGGCTGAGATTCCAGTTCATAAAACTCAGAGGGGCAGTCTTTTTTGAGAGAGTGGCTAGGGGTAAAGAGAAAGGAAAGATACTTCATAGATGAGTAATGTCATGGTAGTTGGAAGGGAAACTTTTAGAAAATTTTCTCGGGAATGATAACTTTCCATTTATATTAATGTATAGAGCAGATCTGTTTTAGAGTTCAAATAACCTTTGAGCCCTTGATCTCATGATACATATGGTGTATTTTATAGGGAAATTATATTTTTTTCATGCTTTGTTATTTCTGTAGGAGAGGCTACTGTTTTTTATTAATGTTGATAAAATAGGTACATTTGGATATATGAACCAAAAATGAAGACATTTCTAATGAGCATTTCTACATCTTTAGGGCAGCAGGAATTGAGGAACAGATTCTCCAGCCGTGGATTGTGGTGAATCTGGTCGTGGCTCTTCTGGTTGGATTATCTTGGCTTTTTTTGGCTTATAGACCAGGCATGGATCTTAGTGAAGGTATTAAAGAAAAAATAGTATAAAAATATCCTGAAATCTTTTATAATGATTTTACAAATCTTCTTTTAATGTGGATAG